GTTGATTGATTGTGATCACCTGCAATGCACTGCGTACTGCGTAGCATAGCAGAGCTGATCAACATGAGAAGGAGGGAGCATGTTCATACGATGTGGAAATTACCCAGTGGATGTTGGATTACACTGGACTGATAGTGTGTGTGTGAAGGAGTGACAGAATGAGAGAAGGAATGAGAGGAGGACGCTGGAAATGATCAGGAGAAAGCTTGGACAGAACTGCGGCCAATAATAAAACCTCATGCTTTTATATCAGTGTCATATCTTGTGGTTTGACTCAACCTTTCAGATTAGCATTTACCTTTGAAATACGAGGAAAAATACTAAACTGAGTGCTTCAAAAAGACGTGAGAAGGAAAGGAATGAAGCAGACTTGGGGAGGAGGTGCAGGTGAAGGAGTGAAGCAGCCAGCAGACGCAAGTTTAGTGAGTGCTTGAAAGATAAAACACTTGTATGAGTGTAGATGATGACAGATATGGCTGGAGTTTGGATGATGAGGAATAAGTAAGGGAGATTACATAAAATAACGTCACAGAAATTTCCTTTATCAACCTGGTCGGTCAAGCATGCTCCTTCATTACATTCTAGACACCAGACAGCAGGGAGGGACATTTGAAACTCACTGTTATGAGAAAAAAAATTATTACTGTGTAACATCTTGCCATGCAGCTTTCAGATATCTGTCTGCATGTCAGCCTTCACCCCAATACAGTGGAGGTTAATACAATTTTGTTTGTGCTGCAGACAGTATCGAAACATTAAACGATTCAACAGCAACATTTCTTTCACGTTCCCATTGCTCTGGATAATCCATTTATTTACTATTTTGAGCTCTGTGGATTATCCAAAGCATCAGGGACACCAATTCTGGGAAAAAGAAGCTCTTGTTTCACATTCAGTGCCAAGAAAAAAACTTGTGGAAGCTACTCTTCAGTCTGTTATTGATTATGGTGACATATTGTATACGCATGCAGCCTCCTCCATTTTATGGGGCCATGATTCAGTGTATCATGCGTCTGTACGCTTCATTACAAACAGCAAAATCCCTTACTCACCACTGCATTCTTTATGATTTGTTGGGTTGGACATCATTGACCATTTGCAGGAAATTGCACTACTATATTTTTATCTACAAATCTTTACTACAAGATAAACGTCCAGCTTACCTCTGTGCTCTTTGGCTCTGGCCGTTACCAGTTACGCTTCCCCATGTGGTTGTTTTTTAATGTGTTGCAGGTTTTGACAGATGTGGGGAAAACGCCATGTTCCTACTAAGCACCGTGGGCACAGACTAATCTGCACAAACATCTAAAATAGAAACTTTTAAATCTATTGATGAATTTAAGGGCATCATAAAGAACGTGCTGACGGAGGCATGTGGTTGTTTTTCCTGAGAGGCCACTGTGTTAATAGCTGTTCTGTTTTATTGTGAACTGTGTCATGTTGTGCATGTTGTATTTTTAAATGCTGGGATTTTGCAGGGCTGCTACCTTGGCCAAGTCTCTCAAAAGATTTTTATCTTTCTATCTCTCTGGTAGAATAAAGGTAAAATAAATACAATTTTAAAAAGCTTGCACTGACATTTTTAAATGTGATTTAAAAATGAGTGACGAAATTAGCAAGAAATTAGTAAAAAGAGAAAATTAAAAACAAGGAAATAAGTTTTAAAAAAAGGAAAGAAAGTTAAAAACAAGGAAATTACCTGAAAAAAAGAGCTTGAAAATTCTAATTATGTAACATAATTTAAAATAATTAATTGTGACAATTACAAATATAGTTTTTCCTCTAGCTTTTTACTTTTTTCCCCGTAGCTTTTAAAAAAATATTTTCTAAATCTACTATTTTATATTGCAATTTGGGGAACAAGTTGCTCATTGCCCTTTTCCCCGTGTTTTTGACAGATATTGCACCAATTTGCTCAATTGAAGGTTTGAATACTTCTGTAAGGCGTCTAAAGGCAGCACAAGAAAAGTGATGTCGCTCCAGTTAATGCTGTTTTTCGATACCTCATTTGTATAAGAATAGCAGTACAAACCTTAGGAATAGATATCTGTAAAACTGCTGGACACATAAAACCAAAACCATCTGCAAGGCTCAGTAAGGTGGGGTTATTTATTTGTTTTGTTGTGTTTTTGTTTTGTTTTGTTTTGTTTTGTTTTGGTAGTGCAGTGACCAACCCTTAAAAGGCAGCTCTTACAGCTAAAGCTGTGCATATTAGAAACACCGCCACATATAAATATACAGTCATAAATATACCTATAAATATTGTTTAGATTATACTGTGCAACATTCCTGTGCAGTTTCCCGACTTGTGCAATAACATTTACTACTTTGTGTGATAATATTTACATAGTTTTATATTTCAAGGCTACACACCATGCATGTATTAGTTATCCTGTGCAGTCATCCATCATCTGTATAAGTTCACTTGTAGTATATAGCTGTATGTATGTATATAGCTTTTATATTTATTTCTTATTATTTTTTATCATTTTGATTTTCCACTCAATCTCTTTTTTTATTTGCCTGCGTCTCTTTAGCAGCTGGTACCAGTAAATTTCCTGGGCGTTGGATGGAAACAGTTTATCTTAGCTTCTTCATAGGTTCATTCAAGGACTGAAAGGTGGCCCCTAAAGGTCAAATGGCCAGTGATTCATTGCAATATCTCCCTCTTTCCACAAATGTCCGAGCATCTGCCTCGTGGCCTGGCTCCAGCTGGGGCTCAGCAGGGACACAGCAGCAGCTCAAGAGAGAGGGAGGGGTGGGCTGAGAGGTGAGGACTGACAGCGGAGAGAGTGTGTAACTCCACGTACAATGATGAGAGGTGATGTAAGGTACAGTGAGATAAACAGTGTGTGGAGGAAGACAATTAGAAAAAGCTGGCCTGGAGTGGGGAACCTCTTACAGAAAGCAAAACAAAACGTGATTGATTCTAAATCTCTGTCGAGCAAAGAACTGACATGAATGGAGAGGGGGTAAAACGGTCAAAGAAGGCCAGCTGGCAGAGGCCAAAGTACACACATAGTAATTCCCTGCACATTTCACAACACACTGTATGATTATGTATGATTGTTGATTTCCAAGGACGTTAAAAAAAAAAAAAAGGAGCCTCATCACCAAGGATTTCTTTGCTCAATACGCAAATGCTCCAACAGAGGAAACAGTTTGTAACTTTCCCACAGAGTTAGATACATGACAAACTGGACAGTGCCATCACAATGGGATGTGTCCCTGTGACCGCACTGGAGAAGGAGAGGCGAACTGGGATTATTTGTACAATGTATGTAAGCAGAAGGTCACTGCTGAATGATGCCTAACATCCATCTACTCCTCCTCCTGCAGCTGCTGGCTCAGATGACCCTGGCAGTTTTTCTTAAAATGACCGTGTGATCAGAGTTTTCTACAAAACAAGATGAGACAATAATGGATGGCTTCATTTTACCAGGTGGAACTATAACAAATGGTTTGGTTTTATGTTAAATGCAGATAATATCAACAGAGAGGAAAGCCAAAATTCTTCACGTTTGTCTTAGAAACTCATCGTCTGAGGCCAGGAACCTGATTCCTAGAAATCACATGAGAAGACCAAGAATCATCTTAATGCTCCCAATTGTGTGGAACAATCTGCCTGCCAGAGATTCTTGCATCCCAAGTTTCCCTGCAGCTTTTTCACACTACTGTCAGTAGAGTTACACGGACACACAGTGATCCACCGCATATGTAACGGACAGCGCACACGCAAACAGTTGAGCTCAATTTGCTGCAGGGTTACAGTGTAGTGGCGACTCTAGACAGTGGTGTTGCCACCTAGTGATGAAATGTAAAACAGCAGCTTGTCATCCGATGGTGCATGCAAGACATTGATGGAGCGTGAAATTGTAAAACAAACGGAAGGATCAGTGAGCTTTGTCTTATTTGGAGAGAAATAATCATTATCCCCAGCCGGAGGCCGGGAGAGAGCTTCTGTCTTTAAAGCAGAGGCAAAGAGTCAAAAGAAATCTTTACTGATCTCAGCATAAAAAAACTCCTGTTGTATAAAGACTTTACACACTCAGCTGCCAGATTATTAGGTACACCTACTGCCAAAACTAATGCAGTCTCATATAGTAGTCCTGCCATGAATCCTACCTTCATGACAGCTGTAATGTTCAGTTGTAAAGAGATGTTGATTCAACTGTATGATCATTTCTAAGGATTTATTTTGTGGTACTATTGAACTGTAGCCCACTGATTCCCAACCAGGGGTAGAGGTACGTCTGTAGTTCCCGGCGGGGGTGGGGGGGTGGGGGGGGGGGGGGTATGGAAATACTGTGGTGTAGCTCAACAAATGTGAACACCACTTTTAAATAACAATTTGATTAGAAAATAAAATAAAAAAATGTATATATATATACACACACATATACTGTCAGCTGCAACCTGCACACAATGTATTGCAACTGGAGTGGGTAAAAAGTAGTTACCAAGCAGGCAGTGAAATCTAAACAGTTTGCTAAAAGTAATATGTAAATAGTAAAAAAAAAAAAAGGCTAAAATAAGGAATATACAGTTTGAATAGTCAGATAGATAACAGTAAATGATAAATAGCTAGAAAAGATAACTAAAATTAATTACTATACAGTTAGCTTAAAGTAATGGCTACGTGGTTAAAACAGCTAAGCGTCCGGCTTCTGCCACTAGCAATACAAAATGCAAACTTTACCAAACTAACCTAAACATTTAGAGTTACATTGTATAAAAATGCTGCAACAATATTGTTAAATATTATAAAAGTTTTACAAGAAACATTTTTTAACAGCGATAACTAATATTCAGTTAATAATGAATTCAAAGGAAGGGTGGTGCATCTAACAGGGGTGCGGGGGTACATCTTAAAGAAAAGGTTAGGGTGCACAAAATAATAGAAACACCCAGATATGCTGAGTGTACATATATATAGTTTGAAAGTCTATTTATCATTCAAGAGACGTTTATATTCAAACATCTGTCCAAAAACATCACAATAGGGAAGATTATTTCTTCTTTATTTGTGTTATACAGTATATATATCCGCCCACAGTTATGATAAAAGCAGTCTTCTCATGTCTGGCTTTAAGAGCTCTTGTCTGCTTAGACTTTAAGACAACAGGATGTGCACCTCCTCTGATACAGTATATCTGAAATAGCTACATTACAGTTTTTAATGTACAGTTGATCTGATGTGAACACACAGGACAGAACATGTAACATATAACAGGCACCTTGATATTAAAGTTACAGTATGACACATAAGGGTAAGGCGTTAACGATCATAGCACATTTTGGTTGATTAAAAGGCTGTAACGTAGTTGTAATTTGGAGAATAAATAATGATCCAGAGTGGAGAAGGCAGAGTGGGAAATGCATGTGCATGTTAGGATATTTTAAGTATTTCTCACCCTAACATGTGGCAGGCCAGTGACATTTAACAAGAAATGCCTTGTCATGTTTCATAACAGTTTATAAGAACAGAATTTTTTAACTTGATGAACTCAGAAAATAACCGTACAGTATAATGATACTGGAATTTGATCAAAAGTAAACCATTTTAAAATCTGTCTCGCCAAGGACATTATTACACGCCAAACTCACACATGTGTGGATAAAAGGTTGTTTGTACAGTGACCAGTAAACTGTGTGAACAAGAACAAAAAAAGGAAACGTTCTGGTCAGCGCTATGACCCGACGCCATGGAAACAGACATGCATGGATAACCTCTTCACACTCACACCTGTGATTGATATGTGTGTTTAGAACTGAGACGTGAGCTGCCCATTACTCTGGATGATCCTCATGATGGACTGGACCACCTCTGACGTGGTGCCCAGACCCCCGATATCAGCTGTATGCAACTGCAAGAAAAAGAAAAAACAAACAGGATGCTCAAAAAAAAAAAAAGAAAACTAAAAATGATGGTCCAAGATGATCAAATAGAGTTAAAAAGCACCTACAGTGACTACTGGATGTAGACTGCAGCTACAAACCTGCCACTGGCTGGCTATTTAAGCCAGCCCCCCCCCCCCTTTCTGCTTTATGCATGTTACAGTTTCGAAATCCCCTTTGCTATTGGAACAACAACCTGCGAGCGAACAATCTACACACTGAAAATGGCAGGTTTTGATGAACATTTGGATTATACAATAAGGCGACTACTTGTGAATGCACCTGAGAAAAGCATAGACTTCCTCACTGAGTCGATTTGCCAGATCTTTCACCCTGGCAGCAATGTGTGTCAGTGACATTGACTTCACTAATGTGCCCATCTGTTTCACTTCTCACGAGTTTCTGTGATATCATCTAATAACGATCTGCAAGAGCCACATACAGCCAGGAAATCGCCTGGGTTCATCATCTGTTTAACCAGTCCAGTGAGGTGCTCCGGAGCTGAAGTATAGTCAGGCTTCACCTTGAGGGTACCAATTATCCAATTATGTTTGTCTTGTTCAATCAGTAAAAGCTGAACCACAAGGTCAACATCTGCTCTTGTTTTCATTTGTGGAGAATTCAACGTTTTAATGACAGTGCTCCCTGACACAATTTTGCAAAGGCACTGTCACTGCATCCTGGGCTTTGTAACACCCAAGATAACGGATTGGTTTAAATAAAGTACATATCACATATCTCTCAAAAATGCTGCCAAAGCAGGAAGCAGTCTGCTGCCTTGGATGATAAGCAGATCATGTTTTTGAATGAGCTAAAGGACCGTGATTAATGTCGGTGCCAAACAATGTAAAACGAGATACCATGCAGCGCAGCACTTCATAAGAGCTTTGTGACGCTGAAAGGGAACGATGCTACTTTGTGTGACTGTATTGTGATGCCCACTAGGAAGCGTGCCAGACCTGCCACCAGGGCCGACATCACACAACACAACAAAGCCTGCCTCTTTGTGGCAGTGAGCCAGGTGAGGGGAGTGACCTGTCAGTGAAGGATGACTTACCCTGGTTTCATTCATGGTGGTGAGGACTGCACTTCGGATCATAGCTGCGTAGTCATAAAGCCTGAAGATGCACAGGTGAAAGAATTATTTACTGTACACCACAGTGGCAGCATTGCAACTCAGACAGAACCACAAGCAGGTGTGCAATAGAAGTATTTTATCTGGAAAAGCTTACTTGAGGTGGTCCAGCATCATGCAGCTGGCTAGCAGCATGGCAGTGGGGTTAGCAATGTTCTTGTCCGCAATACTCTTCCCTGTGTTCCTTGTGGCCTGAGAGAGTCACAATATATCAGACGGTATTTTCCACTCTTCAAAACACAGAGGAGACACTGTTCTACTAACCATGAACTGCCAAACACTCACCGTTTCAAAGACAGCATAGTCACGGCCGTAGTTAGCACCGGGCACGAGGCCAGGCCCTCCCACCAGGCCTGCACACACGTTGCTCACCACGTTCCCGTACAGATTGGGCATCACCATCACATCAAATTGCTGGGGCTTGGACACCAGCTAAAGACACAGATTAACAAAGCAGTATGTGAATAATTTAGAAACGACTTTTCCAAACTAAAGCTGTACTCGCACGAGACCAGTCTTACCTTGGGATCTCTAGTAATTAGTAATATTTGCAGAGATTGTCTGATATTAATCTAGTGTGAATCTGCCATGTCTGTAATTTGTCAAGTAAAAATTCCACCACAAATGACCTGCCATATTTTGCCAAACAGAGAGGTCATGTGATAATGCAAAAGTCCAGTGCGAATACACATCTCTCTGATTTTGGGTTGTATTTAGCTTTTTTGTTTTCTCCGCACCTCTTTACTGCCTCTTCCCCGGTCAAAAACTACGGCTGCTGTGTTGTCAATTACAAATGAAAGTTTTGACAGCACTTTGGGTGCAGGAGGCTCATCTCACCACAGCATATGGAGACCTGCTTGCACAAAGAGCAAGCTTGAAACCATCAGATGAGCAAAATTTCGACAGATGATGAGATGGATGACAAAGTGTGGTGGACTTGGTTTTGTTTGTTTAACCAACATTAAAAAAGAAAAAAAAGGAGGTTAACACTGTTTATACACGCTAACGGTGCTGTGTAGGGTTTTGGTGTTTTCTAAAGTGGGGTTACAAATGACCCTTTGTTTATCCTGTGTGAACGCTACACACAAATCACAGACTTGTGGTGGTGATTTCTACATCATAAGATCCCCCGATAACACTAGTCCTGTGTGAACAGGTCTCACGAGTCATGGAATTTAACCATCCATTACCTGCATGGTGGTGTTGTCCACAATCATACTGTCAAATGTGATGTCGGGGTAACCAGAGGCCACTTCTTTGCAACACTGCAGGAACAAGCCATCGCCCAGCTTCCTGTTGGAGCAATAAGGCCAAACTCAATTTTTGTAGCTCTAAGAAACTCAGAGTATTATGTAAGACTCAGGAGGCCAGACAGTTCTAGCATGATGCATATGCCTCAAAGTAACTCACATGATGTTAGCCTTGTGTACAGCGGTGACCCTACGACGACCTTTTTCCCTGGCCAGCTTGAAGGCATACTCGGCGATCCTGAGGGAATTGTTCCTGGTAATGATCTTAAGACTCTCCACTACTCCTGATACACTCTAAGAGAAGCCAGGAAGGAGATTGACCAACAAATGTCAACTACATTTAACTATTTGGTGCAGTCAATAATTTCATAACATTGTTTTGAGTCATGTGTGAAGCAGCGTATGTCACTGTGTAGAGCTGACTCGGATACTTCCTCTGTGTAAAAGGTAACATAAGGCTGTAACTGCACATCGCTGTCCACACACCAACATCCATTTCAGGCTTGTGCAAATTTTTTATTGTTCTAAAAGTTTCATAAAGTGGCAACTAAGAAATTTAATGTGCCTCTGTCATGTCTGGCCGATGTCAGTCTGTTTAAAGGGGAACTGTGGCCATTTTCAAAATACATACATGTGATTCCTGCAGTCTAAGACAGTAAAAAAATATCAAACATTAAAGCTTGATTTATGGTAGGAAGCTCAACACTTTTAATCAGTGTCGCTCGGCAGAAATTAAACAGTTGCATGTTGTTTTCAATTTGCCTTACTTTTTTTTACTCCGGGTATATTTCTCTAAAATTTAGTGAAGCATAATCTGCACAGACAGCTGTTTAAGCCACACAAATATCCCACTGTATGTGTGATTTTATTTAATTATCCATACATTCATTGATCAGCTTGCAGTCTGTCTGTGAGAGAAAATTCCCCCCACTCACTTCCATGAGCTGGAAAATAAAATCATTAAATACTAAATAGAAATACTGTTCTTCCCATGAAGCTGACATGAAAACTAATTTGGCTCAGTTAATGTCTCCTGTAGCTCAGGCTGGTGATGGCGGTTTGGCCAACCACTGTCCTCTGAGCTCCCCAGGAGCTACTGCTGACAGATGGCTGCTGCTGTGGACAGAGAGGCTGAATCCACGTTAAAGTGGGTGTGGAATGAAAACTAATATCCCCATGCTGACGTTAGTAACACTGCCCAATCATACTGTGAGACAAAACATGACATTATCCACGACATAACAAAGTTTTCCAGATGCTTGACATCAAAGGACAGTGTCAAAAATACGTAGTTTTTGTTGAGCGTCACTCATCAAAAGTGTTGAGCGCCCCACCATAAATCAGCCCTTAAGAGTCTCTCCCAAATCCAAAAATTAGAGAGCTACAACTCAAACATGTGATAACATAAGACAATGAAATGGGAAAGTTGTTCTCGATGATATTGAGAGCACCCAGAGGAATGTTCTGAGTATATGGGTGCGTTTTCTTTTTTATAACTGAGAACACTACGGTAGAATAAAGCTCATATGGGTATAAAAAAGAAATCAAACATCCTTTGGGTCCACACAATCAGACTCCCATTCATTAGGCAAATCCCAAACAAGAAAACATTGATCAATGTCAGAATGTTCATGAAAATTGCATAAGTGGGTTCCAAGAAGAAATTTCTTCTTAAGAACAGTTGGTGATTGAGGCCCACTGTTTTTCCCTTAGTAAATGAATGCTGTACTTTCAGTAGTGTATGGTTGGTACCTAACTCCCATTTCAATAGAGAATAATAAGACAAGAAGATGAAGGGAAGACAGACACAGACAGGAAAGCAGTGTTTAAAGGAGGGAGTTTAAGCGTGTGTTTCAGCAGACAGTAGAATTGATTGTTTCTGTTCTGTCTGACCTCGTGCTCCAGACTGCTGTACTCTCCCTCTGTGTTCTCCCTGATGATCATAATGTCAATGTTCTTGTGGCGTGTCTGGACTCCAGGGAGCGACTGGCAGTGCATCACATTGGCGTACAGGTCTAAGCTTGTGCTGTTGATATACACGTGGAACAAGGGGGGGGGGGGGGGGGGGGGGGGGGGGGGGGGGGNCGGGGGGGGGGGGGGGGGGGGGGGGGGGGGGGGGGGGGGGGGGGGGGGGGGGGGGGGGGGGGGGGGGGGGGGGGGGGGACAAGGGGTCAAGTGACATGAAGGACCAAATCATAGAAGACATGTAAGCTATCTGACAGATAGATAGATAGATATCAAAGGCCCTGAATATTTCTTTAAAACTCTTACCGTAGGAGATTATTCCTGGATTTGACAGATGGCGCCATGGTATGTTTGGTTTCTATGTTACCTATCAGGACAGTTAAGTAATGTCACAGTTAAACTTCTATGTCATGCTCTTATAATAAACTACATACTTCTCACAGCTGTGGTGTGCTTTTCATGTGTCCATGCTCAGCTTGTGACACAGAAACAAAGGGGCTTGCTTGCCTTTAAGGGCAACTCCGTTACGGCGAATGGCAGTGATGGCGTTGTTGATATCATCCTCGGTCTCCATCGCAGAGTTGACATACACCACCTCAAAGTCCACCGGCACACAGCTGAATCTAAAGCATCAAAACAAACCACGTGGTGAGACAGTGCTCACCTGCCTGTAGTCAACACTTTGAAAATGATCTTTTTAAAATTTAGATTAAGTCCAACAAACCTGAAAACCTCTCTGACATGACTTAGCAGCTCTGGGCCGATTCCATCTCCAGGTATGAGAGTCACAGTGTGTCTGCCTCCATACTTTGCAGGAGGGGGCTGTAACAGTGGCATTTTATACATTATTAACGGCACTGAACCTAAAGGAAAACATGATGGTTTTTGAGGTCTTAACACAACTACAAATCACCTATGTTTACATACATTTTTGCTGATATGTTACCATGTGATGTTACATGTTTTAGATTAATTTCCAACCTACCACTTTTAAACTAGCACAAGTACAATATGAAATTTATTATGCAGAGACTTGACGCCTTCTTCAGATAGTTCATCCTTTACCATTAACATTTAGTTGCTTGTTAGTTGCACAAATTTCTCTAAGGAGACCAATAAATGAACTGAATCTGAATCTGAAAGAAACCAAAAAATATTCACATTTAAGAAGCTTGAATCAGAAAATTTGGACATTTTTCCTTGAATAAATAATCACATTAGTTTGCATTTAATTTAATAGTTGAGAACTAATCTATTATCAATTAATCACTGCAATTCTTATGGAATTCAGCAAAAAATACTGCAGTAACTTGCCATTTAATAAAGCAATTTTCTAATTTGTGAAAGTCAGTTTTCATACCGCAGTGAAATGGAGGGAAAAAAAATCTATTGTGAATGGGCTAGAAAATGCAAAATCACCAGTTAAGTTTTACAAAGCCAAAGCACCAAGGAAGTAAGACTGTAAGGGTAACGTTAAGCAGTAAAAAAGTTGATTGTTATTAAGGGTTAAGCAATATACTACTGTTGTTTATCATTGATCACTGTCATCATATTTGATTTTTTTAAATATTGTGAATCAAGAACATTTTTGTTTTTAAGCTAAAATGACACTGGAATTGTCAAGACGGATACATCGATTAATTGTCTGACATGTGAAATCCCATGACATTACTGACACTGTGAAGTACATCAGTGTTCACAGAAGGTCTTCTGTCTTTTTCTACATCACACAGTCCAAGTATAAAATGGGAATGTTCTGTCTTGTTTGTGAGGCGTGTATTGTCGTCAGGAAAACCACATCAAAGTCAGCTACTTACAATGTTGTCTCTCTGCTGTTGAAGATGCACAGCAAGGAAAGCAGAAGCACAAGAGTTACTTTGACAGCCACATGAAAGAACAGCAAGTACAGAGGCATTATAACCTCTCCTCCCCCAAGAGGGTGGAAACAAAGGTATATAGCAGCCCCCAGGTTACATTATAACAGATACAAAAAGTACCATGCCACTCCCAAAGTTACACCCAAAGCCATACAGCTTAGAAATAAATGGTTTAATGAGTAGCAGTGATTTTTATGGCATTATCAGTGCCATGACACTGTGTTCCAAACTATTATGGAAGTAAAAAATCTGTATAATTTCAGTTTTTAAAAAAACATTTGGTTGCTGTTTTTCCAATAAGTTCTTCCTAGGTTTATTTGTCCTATCTTTTTTGGATAAATAGTATCAGTTTCTGTCAAGCAAACTAAAAGTATTACAAGGAGAGCTACAAAAAGCCACTATTGAGCAGCAAACAGGTATTTGAAGCTGCTGGTGTCTCTGGAGGCCCAAGCACCTCTCCTATCGATGCAGGATCCTCCAGAGGCTTGCAGCTCTACGAAAAGCTGTATTTTGGCCACCCCACACCAGTGCTCACAAAGACAAATGTTTTCAGTGGGTTCAGAAATACATGAGGACTAACTTTCAAACTGTTTTATTAACTGATGCATGCCGTGCTACACTGGATGGTCCAGACAGATGGAATTCTGGATGTTTGGTGAAAGGCCACTCTGTTCCAACAAGACTCGGCTGCTAAAGGCACAAAGGGAGAAAAAAATCATGGTGTAGCCACCATCATCCCCTGAACTCGACCCTACTGAGAACCTGTAGGTCATCCTCAAAAGTTAGATCCATAAGGGTGTGTGGCAGTATACTTCAGAAGAATACAGGCTGAAACTATAGCTGGACTTTCAAGTTCAATAGAGGGAGATGTTAAAGGGATAGTTAAATTTTTTTTTAAGTGTTGTTGTATGAGGTACTTTTCCATAGATGGTATATTACATACAGTAGCTGGTGGTCAGCGCATCCTCAGTTTGGTGAAGCAGGCAGGAGTCTTACATGGAAGCTAAGCAATCTACTACTATGGAAGGGTCAGCAGCATAATGTATTTCCGTCACCTAAAAAAGTCCCACCTAAAAAAATCTATAACATCTTAAGTATATGGAAGATTGAGATTTTTTTCACTGCTTCACCTTAATGTCATACAGTTATTTCTAATGGCTAAATGAAGCCGTCCTATCGCTCTCTTCAAAGCCAGACTCCTTAAAGAAAAACAGTAATTTAACATTGCTCAATAAAGGAGCTGCTGGTCTGCTACTGCCTTGTTCACTTATTTTGTTTGTGTTATCTTGTTACTTTGGCGTTTAGATAAGTATGGATTCACCACATTCACACAATAACACAAACTAACTAACTCATCAAAGCAGTGGTAGACCAGCAGCTCCTGTGTTTAACAGGGTAAAACTACTCTTCATCCCAATGGAGTCTGGTGGCTTTGACGAGAGTATGATTAAGAAAGTTTTTTTTAAGTTGGAACTTTTTTTAGGTTGTTAAAAAGCATTTTGTTGCTGACCCCGTCCACAATAGTGCATTGCTTAGCTTCTGTGTCAGACTCTGGTCTGCTTCTCCAAACTGGGAGAGTGCTGACTGGCATCTACTAAATGTAATATACTGTCTATGGATAAGTACTCTATTCAATCCCACTTAAAAAAAACTGAACTATGCCTTCATATTTTGATGTGTTACTTGATCTGTAATTTTCTTTTTAATTTAACTGCATTTATTTATTTTTTTGACATATTCATTCATTCATTCATCTTCTAACCGCTTCATCCTCTTGAGGGTCGTGGGGGGGCTGGAGCCTATCCCAGCTTTTTGACCTATTGAATGGTCTCAAATTAAATTGTGCATGATAATTTCTAACACTGGGTTTTGAGTTCTTTTCAAAATATTAAAAAAGATACTGTCTCTGTCATCTATAGTTTTGCTACTTGTAACATCCACATTATAATATACCTGCTGAGGATAAAAAAAAAAATCCTTAATTGTCTTGACTGTAATGACATGTGCATTAGTGCATAATAATAATTTGGAACATGGTGTACTTACAAATGGACAAAAATCACAGCTACTCATTCTATCAAGATAACAACCCACAGAGAATCTGATTCACTCACAGTGGCCTTGTTCCTGTGACTTGTCAGAGTTGTTCCAAATACCTGAAATACAAAGTAAAGACAGGTTGTTTACATGGTGTTTGTGAATGCATTTTATAATTAGAGCGTTAAAGCAGTTTAGCAAAACTTTAACGCATCCAGCTCAATCTCTGACAGAGGAAGACTGCTGTCTCGCTTATTCAACTGTAACGTTATGATATTAACCATATGACCTTGTGTTAAGATAAAATAAGAATAAAATTAAAAAAAGACTTTCATTTAGGGCCACACAACAACAACAGCGTTCACAACCTATATGACAACAGCGACATGTCTTGTCTTACTTTAACCGTATTTCCAAGTCGTCCACCCCAGAAAGGATTTATAATTTTGGACATCGAGAGCACAGCACTGTGGGTAGCCATCTTGATTTTGAAGCTTCAGTCGCGTGCACGAGGAGGAGGCGTGGTGCTCGCGCGGCAGCTGTTTATTGTCAATGCAATTAATTATTTATTGTTTTAAAACCGAGTGGCAGCTTTCGTGACAGTTAAAGGGAGAAGGTATCGATTTATTACACATATTTTAATTTTAAATAAAAGAAAGAACAAATCGTTAAATATTTAAATCAGTTTTGGTCACGTGAGCAGCTTTGCGCAGACTCCGTAGGCACAGAGTGGAGGGTGGCATTATGTCCGGAAGATAGATGGAATAAACCATCCATAATTTTTTCCATGCTTGTTAAAAGCGAAGAAATGAGACTCGTGTAAATGGCCGACTGAGCAAATTAACTTAATCCTATCTCCGCGTTTGAAAGCTGATTTACACCAGACGAGTCTCAATGAGGAAACAGCGCAAGAAATAGTCAAAGTCCCGAGTGGCAAGAGCAACAGCTCCTCGTTACCGTTCATTACATACCAGCAAAGGTGAAAAGAAAAGGCAGTGCTCGCCTGAAGCGTGGATACAGCAGGTAAGATCAATCGATGCTCGTTTATAAGTTCATAGAAGTGGTTAATTATGTTGTCAAATGAATTACCATCTGTTGCCTCGTCTTTACGATGGTTTGGATTCATGTCACCCCTTCAAACGTCATCTCTGCAGAGCCATCTTGCCTGGCCATTGTAAGCTTTCTGTTAAACATGCCATACTAAACTTTAAATCAAACGACCCCAGATCAATTGTATAGCAAGTGTTATTACTTTAAGAGGTAAGTTTACTATACACAAGTGCAGTTTTAGGAAAAGAAGATCCGCTATTTTCCTTCAAGACTTCACACAAAGTCTTCAAAATGGTGTGAAAACGCTCAGTATTTAATCAACCTTTTATTGTATTGTATTGTATTTCCTTTCTGTACTGTACCCCCTTTTTGTTTTATATCTCCCTTATTAAACTTATGATAAATGGAAAATGAAAACACTGTGTTTATAAAGTTTTTGACATATCTCTAATATAACTATTTTCTTTTAAAAATCTCTTTCCAGGTCTGTGAGACAGTGAATCATGAGATTAACAGGTTGGTTAACATTTACTTCATTTCAGTGGGAACTTGTTGGTGCGGTAGTAATCCCATGTGTCTTGCCTTGACTGGTATGTCCTGTTCCTCTTGACAGGCCCTCTCAGAGCTTTGGCTGTGCTTCTGTTGGTGGGGCTCACCTGGCTGCTGGCAAATACCTTATTCGGAGGAGAGAGTGGGTCATCTGTGCGCCACTTCTTCAGCGGTAAGAGAGGTAGTGATTCAGATAACTTGATGGACAGGAAATAGTTGAGATTAGTTGCCAACTATTACATTAATAGCTAACTAATCTGAGCAGCGATTTAAAGGTTTGAGTAATTTTGTAAGGAAAACAGTCAAAATTCTCTGATCCCAGCTTCTTAAAAGTGAACATTTCTTTGTTTCTTTACGACTTTATGACAGTAAACTTAATATTTTTGACATTTGAGGACGCCATCTTGGGCTTTGGGAAACACTAATCAACATTATAACCATTTTCTGACATTTTATAGCCCAAACAACTAATCAGTTAATTAAGAAAATAACTGACAGATTAATTGACAATGAAAATAATCGCACAATGCTGCCCTAGTTGAGAACAATTAATCAAACAAGAATGACTAACATTCAGTGGTTCTAGCTGCTACATGTGGGGATTGTTCAGTTTTATATAATTCATAACTGAATCTCTGGCTAAACTAGCAACTGGTTATCATCATGTGCCCTGGGAAACAGTGATGAACATTTATTTTTGGACTTTTTAGAGACTAATTGATAAAGAAAATAATTGTGAGCAGCAACTCCAAAGAGAAAGTAGAAGTGTTGGTTTAATGTTTTGAAGCATGTTTGATGAAGGCTCTGTGTATAATATCAACAAGCGAAGACTTTCTGATGTGAGTGTGAAAACTGTTTCTTCTTTCAGGTGCAAGTGAGGAACCAACACCTGGTTAGTCGAAAAAATCCTCTTTCTATCAAATATGATCATAATAACGTTATGTCTGTATGATCTTCTGTGTTACCACTGACAAATGTATCGTATATTTTAGCTGAAACACGCCCCCGAAGGTATAAATGTGGACTTTCCGCTCCCTGTCCTCCAAAACATTTGGCTTTCCGCCTGGTGTCTGGTGCTGCCAATGTCATCGGGCCCAAAATCTGCCTGGAGGACAAGATGTGAGATTCCGTGCTTACCGGCTTCTGTTCATTTATGTCCTTGTCTCCCCTGCTGTCTGTCTGTCTTTTTTTGTTTTGTTTTACACTCTGTTCTGTTTTTTCCCTCTGTGCTGTCATAACCAGGCCTCCAAGCCTGTCTGGGGAGCTGAATGCAAGTATTCTTTCAGTCTGTCTGTCCCCCATTTCTTTGCTTTTGTCTGTAGTCTTGGTTCTTATTATATTTTATTGTTGTATCTCAAGTTCCAGCCAGTGTGTATAAGTGTGTAGATTAACTTTGTGTCAATCCTGATATTCTAGTGTGCGCTGGAAGTTTTTGAACTCTTGACTGTGATTTATCCTGCACCAGCTGGCACCTAGAAGAAGCACTGCGCTGCTGTGCACAGGGATTTACTATTTTTTTGTGTAGATTAACGTGTATGTGCAAGGCAAGGAAGTTGCTTCAGCTCGTGTTGCAACAGTTTGTGTTTCTGTTTTACAGGTTAGTCAGCAGTGTGAAGAACAATGTTGGAAGAGGACTAAACATAGCTTTGGTGAACGGTAAGAGAGTCCTCATCTATCTTTTAACCGACTGTGTTGCATTAATATTTTAAGCTCCTGTTAATTTGTGTTATTATCCCATCTGACTGATGTTTCTTTGCTCCAGGGGTGACAGGAGAGCTCTTGGACACTAAGAACTTTGATACATGGGCAGGAGGTAATGAAAACCAGATGCTAATGTATAGTGCATATTTCACATATGGTGCATATGGTTTGGCAATGACAAGCTATAAAGCTCAGATCAAGGCTCATCTGATGTTCGTTCTCAGATATTTCTGACCTGTTGAAGTTTCTCCGGCCGCTCCATGAAGGAACACTTGTGTTTGTTGCTTCCTTTGATGATGCAGCTACAAAGTAAGAATTCATCACATGCTGTCAGTTCCAGTCCAACACCCCTCTCTTTCCCTCTTAGATGCACCTCAAAGCAATTTCCACAGATAAATTGTCAGCTGAAGCTAAAAGAATACATCATTTTAGAAGAGAGTAAAATAATTATGTTGTACTGTTACAGAGAATAGCATATTTATAGCATATTTTCATTGCTTAAAAACAGCTGGACAAATGTCCAACAAGTTTTATAGAGCAACAACTGCTGCCTGTCTGTTTATCTTTACAGTGAAATTTAACATTACAGACTCCACATATACGAGATTCCATAAATTCATTTATTCAAACATCTTAAAAATCTCAGACTTAACAAAAATATAGTATTAAAGGTCCAGTGTGTAAGATTTAGGGGGATATATTGGCAGAAATGGAACATAAAATTAATAACGGTGTTTTCTTTAGTTTATAATAATGTAGTCTCGCTCACCAGACCTTTCTCAAGAAAAGAAAGGTCTGGCTGGGCCGACTCTCACTTTAAGATTGGAGAAAAAAAACACCCCGGCTGCTTGTATTTCTTTCAACCAATCACAATTGTTCTGGGCGGTGCCACAGCAACGGTGCGCTTGCAAAAATATTGCCGGGGGGAAACAGGTTTTGGTGTAACACGCTCACAAAAATACCACCTACAGGACGCGAACCATGGCAGAAAAATGGCTACATCCCCGCAAGATCAAACACCGCAAAAGTTAGTAAAGGACGTGTTGAAAACGGTTGAAAACTGCTACACAACCGAAGGTGGTAGGGCGGGACTTCAGTGGGTGGCTCGTTCCGCCCAATGAGAGGCTGATCTGTGCAGCGAACTTCTGCTCACTCAGACTAATAATAACGTGAAAATAAGGATTGTTGTGTTTGCCCTAGAATTATGGTTGGTTATCATGTAGGTCTTTTCTGATAGTGGTGCCAAACTATACTTTTAAAATGGTACTGCTGCCTAAATGGTGTCTGAACTGATACTATTTTCAGAGTGGAGCTCAAAGCAATGGTCAATTTTAACACCAAATAAGAGTTACAGTACATTAACAGCGAAATAAATTTTGTGTGGGGATCAGTAATTGTCTCCCTGACTCAGGAGAGGCTCTACAGTCAGGCATTTCTCCATTATCTGTTCAGGAGCAGCTGAGATTGTCAGGATAATAAGAACAGTGGGTCCACCTTAACAGACCACCTTAAGTGAGTCTGTTGAGGTTCCAATGGGAGGCTAACTTTGCTCGCTAATTTCAGGGCTAACCCTCCTCACTTCAGTCAGCAGGTGGCATGTAAGACATGCATGCCTGGCCTGGGTCTTGAGGAGTTGTAGCATTTACTCAGTGACAGATAGCCTAAACTGTAATCACCCCCCCGCCCCCCGCCCAACCCGCTGCTACGCACACAATCTGGCACCGAAATGAGTCACCGAAACCTGAGGTATGATCTGGTCTGGTGGGCACCGGTTGAATAGGGTTTCGATACCCAACTCTACTTAGAATGAGCCGTTTATATCTACACGCGGAGTGGGTCCTGTTCCACAGAGTCTGCCATGTTGTTCTACGGTAGCCCAGAGCAGACAAACAAAACACTGGCTCTAGATAGGGCCATTCACTGTAGTTCCCCTACACACTGCTTGATGCCACTAAATCCTACACACAGGATCTTTAAAGCATTGAAGACTATTTGCCTCAACGTGGAGTCGGTATACCAGCCATCAGTTGATACCAACTGGAAGTCACTTGCTTAACAAATTTGCATTTGCATATGTCTTTGAAGTTTAACTTGGTTTGAGAGCAAAAGCTCCAAATTGTCACTGAAGGAAGTGAGCAGACCAGTCAGGAATTTTAATCTGAAGGGAAAATAGCCCGTGGGTAAAGATGTGCCCATGTGGTATCAGGAATCAGGATTTCAT